CTTAGTTGGGGCATATAGATTCTATCACAGTTTCCCTGACCAGAGATCAAACCCAGGCCCCCTTGCATTAAGAGCCCAAGGCCTTAGCCATTGGACCACCGGGAAATCCCTTGGGTTCATTTATTTTAAGTCTTTTAAGACTGGCTCGTCGTCTTCTGAGACTATGCCAGGACTGTGTTCAACAGCGGCGCCATGTGGCAGCTGCAGGCAACAACAGCAGGGGATGCTTCCGGGTCCTCTGGGCTTGGTGGAGGAAGTCGGGCTGCCTTCTCCCTACTCTGGACCAAGTTCCTGGGACTCCTGGTCACCCTGGGAGGCCTTAAGAGGGAAAGAAATATGGGAGTTGCTGTGAACCAAGCAGTTGAGGGCTGAAGGAATTAACTGGGAGAAGATGAGATGGGACTGTATTGGCCCCTTGGAGTCCCTCATGGCATCACAATTTATTATCCTTTGTTTAAAACCGAGGTTCAGGGCAATGAAGCAACTTGCCCAAAGTCTCTCAGTTAGTAAGTGACAAAGCCCCGTCTAGAACCTGGGCCCTCTAATTCCGAAGGCTCTGAGTTCATCTCTGCGTCTCCCTGGACACAGCAGTGACCTGCATGCTAGAAGACATCAGTGAAGGTGAAAGGAAATGCAGGAGTGACCTATACATTCAAGATGTTTTAGAAACACACAAAACATCTTTTTAAAGTTCTCTGGGAGGCTGCACCCCCTGCAAAGGCAGACACGTCTGGAATCTGTGTTCTTGGCTGTTGGACTCGGGCATCAGTTTTATGTCCTCTGGTGGTGCTGGGTGTCAGAACTGGTTGGCGGGCTCCTTCTCCAACCCTCAGAAAATACTCCTCAGAAGGAAGGTCAAGTGTGGATATAGGCACTCATTTAATGACACTTTAAAAATGCTCCTTCTGGTCCCCTGAAATGCAAAAGCCTTGGTTTGTTTTCTTTTTCTTTCATTTTGGGGAGTCAAATACACATCACTGACATGTTGGCTCCCAATTTAGCCATCCTCTGAGCTGACAGGCTCTGTGAGTGACAAAAATTAAAAGTCATGGCCCCCTGGGAGAGTTCAGGTTCTAATGTCAAGGATTTAGAGGTTATTGGGGTCCTTCTCCCCAGATCTGTAGCTCAGACAAACATTTACTGGGTGAGTGGTTTCACTTGGTTGCCTTGAGGTCGGTATTGGTCCAGACTGAACCAGAAGGCCAGAGTTGACAGACCCAGGAGGGACAGAAATTCTTGGCCCATGTGGCGGTATGTTTTGCTGTTATGTAAGCATTTGGGAATGACAAACACTGCCCAGACCCTGTGACTGTGATGTTGACCATGCCCCCTTCCCTCAGGCACAGGGCACTTTTGCTGAGATGGTATCATGTGCCCACAGCCATGACAGAATATAGAAGCCTTTTTTAAAAACAACATTTGCATTTTTCTAGATAAACCTTCAAAACCTTCAACTTCATTTTCCATCGCCTATCAGGGCTTTCCGTGTTAAACAGCAAGGTGAGGTTTGCAATAAAGTATAACAAACACGGACGTGACTTTGAGCAAACTCTGGGAGTTGGTGATGGACAGGGAAGCTTGGCATGCTGCAGTCCATGGGGTTGCAAAGAGGCAGACATGACTTAATGACTGAACAACAAGAGCATAACATACATACTGAAAAGTGAACCCAGTTCTAGGAAGTGTCCCAAATCGAATAAACCCCTGAAACCAGGACATGGCCAGCACTTTAGAGCTCCCTTTCTGCCCCCTCTAGTCACCTTTACTGAAGGATATACATTATCTTGACTTTTAACATCATAATTTAATTTCAGCTAACTATGGGAGGGCTTCAAGGTCATGGTTATGTCTCAGCAGGGACCGTCTACAATTCAACCTATACAGCAAGCAATCAGGAGAATTCTTGGGACTCTGGGTCCAGCTTGAAGGTGAGATTCAGGGTGTGGAAGGAGAACTCCTTTGGTGCCAGACTGCCCAGCTCTGGCACCTGGAAGCTCTGTAACAGCAGGCAAGGCTCTGGGTGGTACTCCTGCCTCTCAGGGGTGCTAAGAGAGGGACTCAGGAGGATAGGGCCTTGTTGCTGTTCAGTCTCTCAGTAGTGTCCAGCTCTCTGTGACCCCCTGGACTGAAGCACACCAGGCCTCCCTGTCCTTCACTATCTCCCGGAGTTTGTTCAGACTCATGTCCATCGAGTTGGTGATGCCGTCCAACCATCTCATCCTCTGTTGTCCCCTTCTCCTCCTGCCTTCAATCTTGCCCAGCATCAGGGTCTTTTTCAATGAGTCGCCTGGCACAGAGCTCTTTCCTAATGTCAGTGCCCCTTGATGGCATGGGTGAGACCAAAGCCCCCCTTTCCTTGCACCTCCCCTATTTTTCCAGAGCTCATTTCTCCCCACATCCCACGCCGACATCCTGCTGAAACTTCTGACTTCCCAGCTGACGCATGCTCCCAAGCCTCCACCTCTTGGGCTCCAGCGGCCTGGATGTGTCCTCCCTGTCCCCAGACCGCCGGAACTGGCAGCCTTCCTGTTCAGACACCCCCAGGAGGAGTAACTCTTCCCTACGCCCCGGGCTTCCTCCCTGTCTCCCTGGGATCAGAGGGTATAGATCCTGCTGATTCTCCACCTTGCAGGTGAGAAATCTACAGGGTGGGTGGGGACTTGCCCAGGGTTACACAAGTGCGCATCGGGGACCAGAGCGCTGACTTACATCTCTCGTCACTGCCATTAGCCTTTGATGATGAAGGATCTCCAGCCCCTTTTCACCTCTCACGGTCGGTGTTGAAAACCCTTAACTCTGGGGCAAAGTCAGAGGTGCCAGTGTCCAGGCATCCCACCACCAAGACAGCAAGAGCAGATCTTTGACCAAGATTTACATGAAGTAAAGCGAAAGTCTCTCAGTCCTGTCCGATTCTTTGCGACCCCATGGACCGTATAGTCGATGGGATTCTCGACTATAATCTCGATGGGATTCCAGGCTAGATTACTGGAGTGGGTAGCCTTTCCCTTCTCCAGGGGATCTTTCCAACCCAGGAATCGAACCCAGGGTCTCCTGCATTGGAGGTGGACTCTTTACCAGCTGAGCTACCAGGGAAGCCCAAGAATACTGGAGTGGGGAGCCTATCCCTTCTCCAGCGGATCTCCCTGGCCCAGGAATCGAACCAAAGTCTCCCCCGCATTGCAGGTGGATTCTTTTACCAACTGAGCGATGAGGAAGCCTCAGATGTACCTGAATGTGTGTGTTTAACACAGTCAGGAAATGCGTGTGTGTGCTTAGTCACTCAATCGTGTCTGACTCTTTGTGACCCCATGGACTGTAGCCTGCCAGTCTCCTCTGTTCATGGAATTCTCCAGGCAAGAAACACTGAGGTAGGTTGCCAGGGGCTCTTCCTACCCCAGCGACAGAACCCAGGTCTCCTGCGTTGGCAAGATTCTTTACCACTTGTGCCCCCTAAACTTCTTTATATTCATAAGAAATATATAGTAAGAATTCTCCTTCCCAAACTGCCCTCCCTCTAGTCAGTTCTCAGAGTCACAAGTTCCTCCTGCTCTTACTTTCTCAGGCATCCTTAAAGGGGCTCTTCAATGCTCATATGAGCAAAAAAAAAATCTGCACGAATTTTCCTCCTACTTATTTACATAGATGGTAACATACTCCCTTCTTGGCTGTTTTCATTCAACAAAACATCTTGCAGTGATTCAGCTTCCCAGGTGACTCAGTGGTAAAAAAAAAAAAAAAATCTGCCTGTGCTTGCAGGAGACGCAGGAGATGCAGGTTTGATTCCCGGGCCAGGAAGATCCCCTGGAGGAGGAAATGGCAACCCACTCCAGTATTCTTGCCTGGAGAATCCCATGGACAGAGGAGCCTGGCAGGCTACAGTCCATGGAGGTCTCAAAGAGTTGGATATAATTTAGTGACTAAACAACAACAACACCACAAATAGCTTCCTCATTCTGTTTCATAGATGCATAGTATTCCATTGTTTACCTATATTATGTTATTAAAATGCAATTCATATCCCACAAAATTCACCCACTTAAAGTCCACGGTTCAATGAATTTTAGTATGTTTATAGATTTTCACAAATATCACTACAATCAATTATAAAACACTTTTATTATCCCAAAAGCTTTATATCCCTTAGTTATCATGCCCCAGTCCCCTACATCAACCCAAGACAACCACTAATCTACTTTCTTCCTTTATGGATTTGCCTGTTCTTAACATTTCATATGCACAGATTCACATAACTTGTCCTTTGTAGCTGTTTTCCTTCACTTAGCATAGTGCTTTCAAGGTTCGTTGATGTTGTAGCATGTATCAGTACTTCGTTCCTTTTTATTGCCAAATAATATTCCATGGTACAGATAGATCAAATTTTATTTTCCTGTTCACTAGTTGGACATTTGGATAGTTTTTAGCTATTTTGAATCATGTTGCAGCGCATGTTCATATGCAAGTTTTTTTGTCTGGATGTACATTTATGTTTATCCTGAATATACATCTAGAAGTGAAATTGCTGGGTTCTATGGCTTATTTCTAAACTGACTTATCTAGTCCCTTATTGATGAAAATGTGATCAAATTACATCTTAAAAACCAGCGAGCCTCATGAGTTAGGCAGATCAGGGCCACATTAGTGAGGATTCAGGAATAGTGAACCTGCCCGTCTTCTGACCTTTCCTCCCGGTGTTCCCATTTCTCCCAGACACTTCTCCTCTTTTCCAGTTTAATTAACTTTAATTCCAATGTGGTCCGTGACTCAGGGGTGTGGGAAAGAGCAGCCCCATTCCTCATGGCCTAGCTTACGAGTTCATCACCCACTGATCCCCGAGGGGACCCAGGGCCCTCAGCTCTGTCTTCCTGCACAGACTCCTTCCTGTCTGGGTTTCTGCATCAGGACAGTCCAAGAGGAAGCTGGTGACTACCTCGAGCCCTTGACAACGGGTCTCTGTCACACCTGACCATGAGCACACCTGCCACAGGTGCAGAACAGGGAATTTCAGGAACCATCCAGGCTCTAAGCCAGCCTCGGAGAGCTTCCTGCCCCCGCCGCCCCAGATGGGACCTGCAGGAGCCGCCGTGTCCTTGGTACTAGCGTGTGTTTAAACACTTCTTGTGCTTTGGATCTTCTCAACAAGCCAACAGCAGGAGGTGCTTTTTATTCTGTGCCAACAGAAGACAGGTCAACTTTTGATCCTCTGATTCATTGAATGAGAGAAAATGAGTCCAGTTTCTCTCTGCTAAACTTCTATTAGGTGCTGCCCTAAGAGTCTTCGGATATCAAGTTACTCTCTGCTCTTGAAACCTCAGTGTTGACTTTGGAAAGACTGTGATCCTTTGCAAAAAGAAGTTGCCCTCTTTCCATGGCAGATGTTTAAACTCGCCTTCCTAAGGGTCAAGAAAAACACCGCTTCATGGAATGTGAGTATTCTGCTCCGACACAAGGATGAGCAGTTCTAGGATTTCTTACATGTTTCACATTATTAATTTAGATGTTCAAAACAACACAGATAAAAAGCTTGGTCTCTTCTACAGGATATAGAAGATACCATCTAACTTATTCTTCTATATTTTTTTAAAAAGGTAAAGAACAATGTACTCTCCTAATTAAAATAGTGAAAATCTTTCATGTGACAAATGGACTGGTTTTCAAATAATTTTATGCTCTGTTGTTCTTGGCTTTATTTGATATATATTTGAACATAGCACATCATTCTGCAACAATTCACAGAAAGGTCTATGAGTTTATCCATGTAATCCAAGTTTAAGCAAGTTCTCTTACCCTAATTAAAGTTTATGATGTTCTTGTTGGGTTGATTTGTTTTTAATAATGATGGGAACATTTTTCTCTTCCTTATTTAAGTTCTCAAACTATGTTATCAACAGCGGTAGGAAAATTCCTGATCACTGTACTGTTTCTTATGACTGACCAATTTTATATAATGAAATCTGTTAATTTGGACTTTGTCACATGTGGTTTGCACAGTTATTTTTAAATGGTTTCTCCCTTAATCTCAAAGTAATAAGATCACTCATTCAACAGTTAATTATAATAAAAAAAGAATACTGATCTCCTTGAGCTTTGCGTTAGCAAAGTGAATTAGCAAGCAGATACGAAATAGAAGACACTTAATGCAGCACCTTTGGGCTGCTCAATAGGTGATAGGATTTATCCTACATGTCTGGACATGTCTATATGCACGTAGAGCAAGAAATGAGAATGTGAACCTAGAAAACTCAGCTGGAAAATGTCTCACAGGATTAGGCGCTACTTCTCTGACTTTTTATCACTGCGTTTTCACCAGCTCTCCTAGTAGAGGAAACAGGTTTGAGGTAAACAGCAATTAAGATCTTAATCTTCTGGTCTTAGAAGGGCACACAGCGTCTTTACCCAGGGGCACTTCACCAAGGAGATCAGAAAGGTGCCCACTTGTACTCTCCCATTTTTAAATTAATTTCTTTTTGAAAATAAATACACATGGTACAAAATGTACAAAAGGACATCGGTGAAATGTACACCTGCTTCCCCCAGTTCTCTTCCCCATGGGCAACCCTAGATACCAATTCCTTCTGTATTCTCCCAGAGGTATTGTAAATACGCTCAAAAGTTTCAAGCAAATAGCACACCCCACTTTATATATAGGATCTTTTTCATCTGTAAAGATTTAGCACCAAGCAAGCTCTTTGTTAGTATTTCTGGCTGCATTGTATCCTGCTGCATGGAATTTCCAAAATGGATTAAACCATCTCCCAGCTGAGTCTGTTCAGGCTGCTCTTAAACGTCAAGCATCATAAGAGTGCTACAAGGACTAATCGTAAATATACATTGTTTTGGACTTGTTCTGGCATATTTTTAGGGTAAATTTCTACAGTAGAATCACCGGGTCAAAGGTAAGTGTGTTACTAACGTCAATAGATCTTGTCAATGTGCCCTCCATATCGATTGTGTAAATTTACACCCTCACCAGTCATTAGCAAAAGCTCGACAGGCCTGCGGACATACCTAGACTGTCTCCTGAGACACCATGAGTTTGCAGACCTGACAAATAACAAAATATTACCTTGCTGGAGTTTTAATTTGCATTTCTCCTATTATGAGTGTTACTGAGAAGTTTTTCTTATGTTCAAGGTCCATTTCTTTTCCTGAACTAATTGTCCATATCCTTTGCATAGTTTTGTACTGAGGTTTTATACTTTTTCTTATAGAACTGAAGCTTATTAAGAAGTTCACTGGCATAAATATCTATTTTTTTTCTAGTTTGTCATTTGTCTTTCGTATGCCATCACTTAAACTTTTTTTGTGTAGTTGGATTTAACATTTTCTTTCTTCTTTTTTTCCACCTCTGACTTTTTGTGTTATGCTTAGAAAGGGATATCCCACGCTGAGATGATAAGCATAATGCTAAGTTGTGTCTGACTCTTCCAATCCCATGAGCTGTAGCCCACCAGGCTCTTCTGTCCATGGAATTCTCCAGGCAAGAATACTGGAATGGGCTGCCATCTCCTTCTCCAGGGGGACTTCCCTACCTAGGAATTGAACCCAGGTCTCCCACACTGTGGGCAGATGCTTTACCAACTGAGCTACACAGGAAGCCCCCAAGAGATGATAAGGGGGAAAAAAATCTACCCTGTTATTTTCTAGTATTTTAAATAGTTTTTAATATTAAAACCTTTAAATTATTTTTAATATTAAAATCTTTCATTTATCTGGACTGTTTTGGGTGAGAGCGATGAGGTGAGAGATGTAGATTCGTTGTTATCTTGTTTTAACGCTACTTATTGAAAATTCCATCTTTTCTCTCCTGATCACAATGCCCCTTTATCTACCAAATTCCAACTCCTGCTCTACTGATGTTTTACTCTGTTTGGTCTGCCAGTCTATGTATCCTGTCACACTGTTTTAGTTATTGTAGTTTTACAGGGAAGACTTTTCAGGGAAAAGTTGCAGCTGGTTTGGAAGAGCCCCTCATGCCATTTGCAAAGCCCAGTAAGCCCCAGCTGGACTCTGGGCAAATAAAGCACTTGTTCATTCAAAAAAATAGTAAACTTATTTTTCTGGCTGGCTAGTTTTAAATTTCTTGCTAGACTAATTTCCACTCATTTCAACTCTTTCTTTCATAGGTCTCCTAATTAGTCTTGACAGTTGCTTTTTCAGTATACATAGCTTGTTTATTTCACAAAGAAATCCTATTGATGTTTTTATTGCAATCATGTTAATTTGTATAGATTATCTTAGAGAAAATGGATATCATTATGATGTTGTGTCTCCTTTTCAAGAACTTGATGTTCTGAACTCTAAACAATAATACAGATCAGCCTATTTGCAGGGCAGGAATAGAGATACAGATGTAGAGAACTGACCTGTGGACACACTGGAGGAAGGAGAGGGTGGGGAGAACTGGGAGATTAGGATTGACATATATATACACTACTATGTGTAAAATAGTAAATACAGTAAAATAGCGCTGCAGTCTATGGGGTCGCAGAGTCAGACAAGACTGAGCAACTGAACTGAACTGAACTGAGAAGATGCTGTTTGGCACAGGGAGCTCAGCTCAGCCTCTGTGATGACCTAAGAGATGGGCTGGCGGGGGTGGGAGGAAGGGTCAAGAGGAAGGGGATGTGTGTATGCATACAGCTGATTCGCTTCATTGTGCAGCAGAAATGCACACAATGTTGTAAAGCAATGATGCTCCAATTAAAAAAATTTTTTTAAATATATTGACATGTATGTTGTTAGGATTCTACCTATTGAGCAGAAAAAGCCTCTTTCAGCAGTCCCATTTCCCCACTGATGTGAACACACTGCCACTGGCTTGGCCAGGCAGCCTTCAGCCCAGAATGTGGGTCTCACACGGACGTCTCTGTTTCTTAGGGGATTGGGCAGCCCCCAACCAGACCCAAGCCGGCCCCGTCCTGGGGCACCTGCTAGGGGGCCACACGGAGGGAAGAAACAGCAGCAACTCCACCAGGGCCCTGAAGCTTCCGGATGGGACCAGCGCCGCTTGGTATATCCTCACCATCTTTGGCATCTACGGGGTGATTTTCCTCTTCCGATTGGTCAGCAACATACTCAGAAAGAATGAAAAGTCTTTGGAAGACATTTATTACTCAAACCTGACATTTGAACTTGAAAAGAAAGGGCTCCAGAGCAAGGCAGCCAGATGTTCTTCACTGACCATTAGCAACAGAGCTATCCTGCAGCCCAACAAGGCCAGCCTGGAGACAAAGGGTGGGAGCAGCAGCCCCTACACTGAAATCCAAGAGATCCCTTGAAAGTCGAGGCAAGGAGGCCTCCGCAGCTGAGGCTCAAACTTCTTGCTTGAGGGAGCAGCTTTGGGCTTACTTGGAACCTTGAGAGATGAGTCCAGCCCTTGAGTGGGGCTGAAAGAGCATCACTGAGCCACAGGTGCAGGGGGTTGGTGCCCAAAAGCCAGCATCCTGTTTCCTGCTCAGGCTTCCTGATGCTCTGAGATGAGCAGGGGTAGCAGCTTTCAGCCCTACTCACCCTTCACTGGAAAACTTTATGCTCCAGGCAAGGACATGGGACATCCAGTGTTCTCAGAGGAATCTGGTAGGCTCCTGGGGCATGTGTGAAGGTAGCCTCTTGTCATGGAAAAAAGGCTGAATTTGGAGCCAAATGCCTTGGATGAAATTCAGCTTCTAGAGGGTCACATGAACTTTGTCTGGTGGCTCATGCAGAACATGTGAGGGTTGGGATGTATGGTCTCAGAGGGCCATCATTCTGAAGACTCTGTTGAAAATATAGGACCAGAATAGTCAATATCAACATCCTAATTTTCAGAAGTTCTTCATTTTCATTGAGAGTACAGGGTCCATTCAAAAAAATGTGCTGGTTTTGGAGTCAGAAGAATCAGACTCTACTCTGAATTAGACTCTTGACCACTTTGACGTCCTTGCACACACCACTCACCTCTCCCAACCTTAGTTTCCTTACAGATAACGAGGATAAAGATGCCAGTTTTCTTCCAACCTTGCAAAACAGATGAGAGCTAATGAAATCATGTATATCAATGTATTTTGAAAAGTAAAATAAATATGCAAATATAAACCTCATTGTGATAGTGGCGATGATGGTGGCTGATGTTAAATTATGGTGATGGTAGTATTGGTGGTGAATGGTGGTAGTTGATGGCTGGTGTTAATGATAGTGGGGTTGGTGGTGGTTGATGGTCAGTGTCGATTGTGGTTTTGGTGGTTGATAGTTGAGTTGATGATGGTGGTGGTGTTGGTGATTGGTGTTGTTATTGATTGCATTGGTGGTGGTTGATGGTCAATGTTGATGTGGTCTTGGTTGTTGATGTTGATGATGGTGATCGTGGGGGTGTTGATGGTGTTGGTGTTGGTGGTTGGTGTTGTTGATGGTATTGGTGGTGGTTGATAGTGTTGATGGTGGTCTTGGTGGTTGATGTTGATGATGGTGGTGGCAGCGGTGGTTGTTGATGGTGCTGTTGGTGGGGGTTGGTGCTGTTGTTGATGGTGGTGGTAGTGGTGATGCTACTGTGGTCCAGGAAATGATCAGCCTACTAATAATAGCTATAAGTAATGGCTGCATTACCTGATTCTAGAGGAGAACCCATCTGTATCAAACTTGATGACGTGTGCTCTGAATCAAGTCCATGAAATTAAAGTTGTACACGTAGACAAAATAATCACTTTTAGTTTTCATTACTGTAGATATCATATGATTCATTCAAATGTTTCACAAATATCTGTTACTTATATTCTTGTCTCTGCTTCAAAAAGAAATAAGATCTTGCCTACATGACTGATTCATTTAGAGATTGTGATTAGCTGAATTTCTACAAGTGGCTTTCAGTAGGCAAAGAGAAAAAGTACATTTTGCACCAAACTCTGTGAAATTTATCTGGTTTGGTTTTTGGAGGGGTCCCCTGAACAACAAATAAAAAAAATTTTCCCCTGTCTATGCACAGTGATCTATAATCAACCACATGATTTCATAAAGGTTAAATTAAATGCCATGCTTTTTTTTTGAAAGGATGAAATAGACTTCCAACTATTTTTCTTTTTTTTTCATATTTTCCACATGATCATCTGACAGGCTCTCCAACAAAAGTGTTGGTTTGTTTACATAGTTGGGCTGGGCATCATGCAGGTCTGAGACTCTTATGGGGCAGCATAAAACAGTAGACACAAAGACACAAACATGTCAATCACAGTGAACAGGAACGCGTATGTGCTCAGTCGTTTCCATCTTGTCTGACTCTGTGTGACACCATGGACTGTAGCCCACCAGGCTCCTCTGTCTATGGGATCCTCCAAGTCAAGAATACTGGAGTGGGTTGCCATGTCCTCCTCCAGGGGATCTTCCCGACCCAGGGGTCAGATTCGTGGCATCTCCTGTGTCTTCTGTATCTCAGGTAGATTCTTTACCACTGAGCCACCCAGGAAGCTCGAATAGGAATGCAGAATGCACTAAAATGGGAGCATAAGGCCAGAGCTGCAGTGAATTTGAAGATAAAATACATACTCTGTCTTGTTGGTTGCCTCCTTCTAATGGATCCTCCTCTTCCTCAATCCAACACCTCCTTAATTTGCATTTGGGAATGCATATGGCTCTAAGAAAGATGAAACTACTCCCAGTTCAAGGACCTGATCCAATTAGTGCATCTCATCTCCAGCCTCACTAATAGGGACCAAGCTGGACCCATGACCTAAGTAAGCCCACCCCATCAGAATGATGGGAAGGACTTCCATGGGGAATTTTGGAACACTGAAGCCCTCTCTTGTGCTGGATGGTGTTAAATCCAGAGCTGAGTTTGAAATTGCTGGAGCCATCTGTCACCATGGGCAAGGCCAGTGTGAGGGCAAAAGTCAACATAAAGTGGAGATATGAGAAAATTACAGAAAATTTACAGAAAATCACAGAAAATCCTAATCAGACTGTGCCCAAAGCCTTCATTTCCCCCTGGGTTGTTTTAGTTAATGAGCCAATAAATTTCTTTTATTAAGTCCTTTAGAGATAGGCTTCCTGTTCTTCTCAACCAAAAATATCCTTAATGATACCACTGGAGAAATAATCTCCTGAAGGAAGTGGACCTTGGAGTGGAATTAGATAAAAGCAATGTGATGTGGTAAAGTGGGATCACGTCTTTCACCAAAAATTTTATGTTTATACGATTTTGTGTTTATGGGGAAAATACACTATGCTTATGTCAGCTCACTAGTTACTCGCAAGTTCTTATAACTTGACCTCTCAAAGGGCATTCAGTGAGATTTCATTCCATTTAATCCCCATCTCCGACTCTTGTCATGGAAGCTCCTGAGAGGGCCTGTCATGTTAGACATGAGGTCAGGACTGGCTCCAAGGGTATTTCAAAGGAGCAAAACTGTTGTCTTCCTGTTGACACCCAGACACAGGTACATGAGATCCAAGGACATCTTCCCTGGACACTTAGCTCCTGCCTGATCCAACTTCATCACTCTCTAGGGAGCTGGTCTGAGTGTTTGCCAGGGAGATGTGTTCTTGGATGGGAATTGTGTAGGCTCCATTTTAACCTGGTCTGGTGGGCAAGAACCTCAAGTATTAAGGATATTTTGTGCCCAGTCCCTTAAATCTAAACTGTTCAGGCTCATAGCAATTAATCACTTTCTGTGCAAAGCCTATGTATTTGAACCAGGAGGGAAGGGATCAGCACCATAGCCTGTGTTCAAGTAGTGAGTGGCGAGGAGATATGCATGTTTCACCAACCTTGGTGGAGATGGGAGAACAGCAAACTGAGTCCCAACATGCTAGACACCTTTGCTTTCATTGTCCTATGGTAAATTTCCCCCAAGATTAGCAAATCAGGTCAGATGAATGTCTTCCTGTGAAATGGAAATTATTTAAAACTGATGTAGAATGAATCTGGTTCACTGTCTCCAGGAATGGCTTCCTCTTGGATTTGTGGCTTATGGTCCCAGTGAAGTGAAAGAGTCCTGTCTGACTCTTTGTGACCCCATGGACTGTAGCCCTCTAGGCTCCTCTGTCCATGGAATTCTCCAGCAAGAATACTGGAGTGGGTAGCCATGCCCTTCTCCAGGGGATCTTCCCAAACCAGAGATTGAACCTGGGCCTCCAGCCCTGCATGCAGATTCTTTATAGTCTGAGCCAGGGAAGCCCTGAATGGTTTGTACTAAATCAAATTGAGGTTACCAGAGCTTTCCTGGTTGATTGGAACACATTGATTCTTTTTTTTTTCCACTGTGTCTTGTGGGATGTGGGATCCAGTTCCCCAATCAGGGGTTAAACCTGTGCCCCCTGCATTGGAAGTGCAGGATCTTAACCACTGGATCACCAGGGAAGTCCAGAACACATCTGTTCTAAATAAAAGTCAAATCAGCTGTGCTGCATTATGACTTACCTGGTGTGACATAATTATCACAAGATTTAAGTGTTTAAAAAAAATAATGCAGAGTGGAAACATTTGTTAATGGTCACCTGACTCTTCTTATAATGGCTGGTGGCTCTGATTCTCAGAAATGATTCTGATTGTCCGGACCTCAACCAGAGCGGAAATGTCAACTCGCCCTTCAATTAAAGTTAGAGTTCTTCTCTTGGCGAAATTGAAACCAATTTTAGCTCACTCATGAAAAAAAAGGCGGGGGGCGGATCTGTGAGAAGGCAGCTGAACGAGCTCACAAAATCAAAAGGGCAGCAGCCTACCCAGGCCTCAGGAAGAAGAGAGGTCAGCCCAAGGCCCTCATTCAGTGGCCCCAGCTGAAGGGCCTTCTCTCCAAGGCCCTCCCAGGAGACGGCGAGCTCCCACGCTGTCTCTCTGTGCCTCTGCTCACGTTTCAAATGTTAGAGGAGAGCGTTGCATGGGATTAGGTATACCAGCTGTCTGCCCCTTGGAGCAAGGAGGACCCAGGGGGTGCAGAGCTCTGACTGGCTGAGGTTGGGTCGTGTGCTCACTCACAGGCCCTGCAGGGGCACTACGTCTATGAAGAAAATGCCAGTAAACAGAGCCATTGCTCAAATATCACCCTCTGATACTCTCTTGACCCCAAAGGCAGACTTGTTTGCTCCTCCAGAGCTGCCATAGCACCTGGTAAATACTTGGGTGGGTCAAAGAGAAAATTTTATGCAACGGAATTTCTCCAAGGAGGGAACTGTGTTTGTTTACCAAGTATTTGGTACAGGAAATGAGACCTCAGAGCCTCCTGAGTATGGGTGGGACTATTCTACAGGAGACAAAGAGTAGAATTCACTTCTCAAGAGAGTTGGGAGGAGGAAAAGATGGCAGAGAGATTTAGGGATCTTCCTGGATGGCAGGACGGACTGAGAAAATGTCTCCAGTGATTGGCCCACCATCACGCCCACCAGGCCTGATCTACAATGATAGGAAACTCATGAGACAAATGCTTGAAGTGAGTGGTCTGGGAGACCGTGAAGGGACTTGGTGATGGGTTGAGTCTGAGGCAAGCAGAATTGAGGCATCAGGCAGACATGGATGCTGGGGACAGAAGCACTTTAATTCCAGTTTAGCTTTAGCTGAAACATTAAGAAGTAGCAAATGGACTTGTGGACACAGAGGCGTAAGGGGAGGGTGGCGCAAATTGAGAGAGTAGCATAGGCATATATATTATGTATATGCTACCATGCGAGAAGTAGATCGTTAGCCTGCAGCAGCTCTAGAGCACAGGGAGCCCGGCTCACTGCTCTGTGATGACATAGAGGGGTGGGATGCGGGGTGGGGGAGGGAGGCGTATGAGGGAGAGGCTATGTGCATGTATGTATAGCTGATTCATATTGTTGTACAGCAGAAATTAACACAACATCGTAAAGCAATTAGCCTCCAATTAAAAATAGTAGGATTTTTTTTTCACTAAAAAAAAAGAAGAAACAAAAGTCATGGGGAAGCTGGTGTCAAATTTAACCAAATCCCTGTAGAGTGGGTGCAGGGAAGCAAGAGGGTGGAATGAGTGCCTTCGGGGGTTGGGGGGGGGACCTGAAAACTCAGTCCATTTTTAGAACATGTATCATGTAAGACTTCAAATATCGGTCCCCAGTCTGTGTCCCTTAGTGGCCCATGAAAACATGACTTTAAGAACAAGGACAGCATCTTATGAATTTTGACATCACCCGCTCCTTGCAGAACACACAAGAAATATTTGCTGAATGAGTGAATGCTTCACACGAGTGTGTCAGATTAGTTATTTACAATGAGTGCTATTCCCTTTGGGACACTAGATACAATTTTTTTCTAGGCACTTTATTTTGGTGGAAATGTCCAGTCCTCAAAATATAATGAGCATGGAATTTCTACAAGGAGGTTAGTTGTCCTTTAAGAACTGTGTTCA